AGTTTCAAGAAGGCTCCACTTCCATTTGTACCACTCAGGTGACTCTGATGACACAGATAAACCTCCAGGTGGCCTTAATGTCTCACTAAAAAAATGCAAATGACCAGCTGTCTACAAGGAGTATAAATCCTTCCATTTCCCATCATCCTATCAGAACTGAAGAAGCTTCTTGGATGAGAAGGGAAATGTTTTCAAAGAAAAACCAGAAAGTGCAGTTATCTCTCGAAAAAGCATCTTTCAGACAACCATGACCTGGATGACTGAGAATCTCAATAGACAACTCAATTTTTTAGCCGTTGCACAACGCGTATATAATCATTGGAAAATGCTTCTGTGTGAGTCTTTGATATTACTACAAAAGCAATAGCTCATAAGGAAAGGTAATGGTAAATATAGGAAAGATGTAGTCCCAACTAAGAGATGTTCATGGGGACCATGGTTCTGGTATCTGAAACTAGTTCAAGGCAGACATTCTAAACATTATCTCAGTATTTGCACAGTCACTCCATGGATTGGTTAACACAATATGTTTGATGCCGATAGTGAATTGAATCACAGCTTGCACATTTGCTAGAATATAGGCTGAATTCAAGGAACATATTGGACTATAGTCTAACATATTCAAATGTAGCATGTTACATGAATGCAGCAGCTATATCTTTTAACTGATCTAGATAAGTGTACTATGCAAACCAAGTCCATACATCTATATGAGGGATTCCTCCTTCCTCAAGACTGAATTGAGATATGTAAGTTTTCCTCCGTTCAAGCAAGGAATGCAAAGCTGCATAATTATATCTTGATCATAATCCAATGGTAACATCCAATTCAATCAATTGTGCAGAATTATGATTTCTGCACCAACCAAGAAAGGAAATTACCACTAAGCATTCCAATAATATTTGAAAATGACTTAAGTTCATACATTCTAGCAATATGAATATATAATTCACTTCATATGAATATTTTGAGAATCACTTTCTTAAGAAAAGAATGACAAAAAATTAGAAAAACATAACCAAAAAACAAACCATCAATCACCCTTAAATGCTTTTTCATTATAGGACTTTAAAAAAAAGAAAAAAAACCTAAAAAGTTTTAAATATATTTAGTTACCTTTATATAACTGTATAGGTATAGTATTTATATATTTTACTTCTATCACTAGCATTTTATATATCACTGTGAGGACCTGTATACACAATACCTATATATTGTATATACCTGTATGCACAACAGACACATCTGCAGAATTCTACAAAGGCGAGAAAACTTACAAATACCCAAAGTCTCTAGAACCTTAAGTGGGAAGTTCTAGCAGATAGTCCTGATTTTTTTTCTCTAGGTCTCAAAAAACATGTATCTCATAAATGCCGTTTTGAAGACCTTACTACTAGATCTCAATATATTTTCTTAAAAAGCCCCAAGGATAACAAAATTATATTTAATGCTAAGAAAAAAACTGGCTTTTCTAAAACTCATTTAGATGGTATACTAAGCCACTAGATGGCAGTAGGCTCAAGCATATTCAAACTTAGACTCTGTTTTCTCTTATAAATTCCACCATTCTTTTTGCTCCCATAAACTTATTTTTTCAGGAATGTTTCCTATTGAAATATGAAGTGTGTGTCAAGCTGCATCTTGGGGATTAACTCTATGTACTTGAAGGTTGTTTCGCCATACTCATCTACTGCACATGCCTTAATTCAGAATAGTCTAAGTTTATTTTCCAGAACTGCTTTACAGTAACTTAAAAACCTTTGATCAATATCAGAACAGCTGTGACAGTAGGTGTATTTCCTAGTTTGTTGTGCACTGATGGAATGTAAGTATATACACTCACATAAATACACACACTTTCCTATAATCATGGGCTTTCTATACACACTTCAACCAGACACATTTTTCAAAATGGTCTGAAAAGGGCTACTTTTAAGTAGGAATGCATCTCAGCTTGTCTTTTCTCAATTTACAAATAGTGTGTCTATGTATGTGTATATTTATTATTCATTGCATCCACTGCATCTAAAGCTGACAGCAGAAAATGACTTTTCAGACACTGTATCGTGGTAAAAGTTTGTGTGGTACTATTATTTTAAAAAATATTTAAAAAATAAAAATGCAAAAACGTAATAGATCTTGATAGAATTGGTTAAAATGTGTCAGTTTTATTTTTCATTTGAGGTTTCAGCTAATAGGCACCATCTTGCCAAGTCTAAACAAGGTCCAATTAAAAAAAATTAGACCAGCTAATGAAAGTATGTGTATGTTTTAAAATGATGGCTTCCCTTTTAATAAACTCTCTGGTTTCTTAGATGGAATCTCTAGGCACAGAGAGAAAAACTGTGGTTCCATCAGCCTCCTGTAGATACCCACTTTTCTTCTGTCACCTGTATGGTATTAGACTTACCCCATTTCACATGATAGCTATTTTTGGTATGGGTACTTTTTTAAAAAAAATCACAGATAATTTATTAGTGAATATATTTGACAGGATTATTAGATAGTGATAGCGAAACCAAAACTAGATAGATGACAGAGATAGACAGAAAGATAGAAAAATGTCTCATAGAGATGGATGATGGATAGAGATGGAGACTATATAGATAATAGCTAAGATAGCAAAGAGATAGATGATAGATATAGATGACAAATGGATGGATAGATAGGCAGATAATAGAGATAGATACTGTAGATGGATAAATATAGATAGATGATAGATAGATATGAGAGAGAGAAAGAGAGAGAGAGAAAAAAAAAAAAGAGAGAGAGGTGTTCGCGTGTGTGAAAGGGATTATTAGGAGTGAGATCATCTAAATTCAATGGTTGTTGAAGAGCCAGAAACAGATTAAACACAAGGAGGCAACTGTACCAGATCAAAAGTTACTTTTAAAGCCCAACTAGGATGTTCCATGACCAAAATATTAACTACTTTCTCAAAAGAAAATCCACATTGACTTTGATCAAAACCTGTTCACTGCTTCTGATTACTGAAAGATGAATGTCTGAGTTTCCTAACGGAATGGTCTATGAATGGTGCTCTGTGTTTAATAAACGCATAGTCGCTGGATGGATAATAAAACTCTGTGGAAATGTCAAAATGAAGAAAAGGTCAGGCAAAATTCACCTTCCCTGCTAACCAACAGTATTTCCATGGTTACTTTCAGAAATGCAGATTTGAGAACCTTCACAGGAAATATTACGAGCACATGCGTACCTTATACAGAATCTTAAGCAAGTGAAGATGGTAAAATAACATATTTTTTTTTAAATGGAAAGGGAGAAAAATGAAAGGGAACGCTATAAACAAAATGCCATGATATTGTTTTTGTAACTGAAAAATGTACCAAAGTTCCTTATGAGCCTGGACAATTCCCAGTTTCATTTGCTAACAGGCCATCAAAACCTATCCAAGACACCACACATGTAGAACAGGACCCAACTCAAGTACTTTAAACTCAAAAACCCATAGATGTTTCTATTCTTAACAATAAATCTGAAACACACAAATGAAATTATTGTGTCCTTTAGCTTCAAACTTTGCAGTTACTTGCATGAAATACTTTTTCATCTTTGGATAAAAACCAGTATCTGAAGGAGCACTTCTCTCTAAAAGAATAGCAATAAGGAGCGATATACATAGAACAGATAGTTAATGTTCAGGCATAGAAAATTAATCCCACGGACAGGCATGAACTTTTGATGGCTTACAGCAAAGAGAAAAGGCATCTAATATCAAAACTACTAAATAAACAGGAGTAACGTGCAGTTTTTCTTGCAAAACATCTTGTTTATGTATAAAACAATCCATCTAGGCTGAATTCTCTTTATCAAGATGAATGCATTGTTACCCATCTGTAAAAGAAAACTTGTCAGGAGAAAGTGTATTGCATGATAGTAATTCATGCACCAGTTCACTGACATTGATTGGCAGTGGGGGAGGGGTCAGGGACAGAGCCCCAGGGCCAGGACAGAGGGGAAGAATCTCCCTCTTAAAGGGATTAGAAGGCCTAAGGCAGCCATCCTCAACTTCCAAGGAGGGTGCTCAAATGTTTAATGCTGTAGATAATTTTGGTAAACAAAAATACTACTATTAAAAGAAATATAACATTATTTGTACGAGATACTATTCAGTTATGGTCATCATACAAGTAACTTTTTTCTTTTTCTTTTTTAGGGAGGGTAGTTCTTCTCAAAACACACCAAACTGAGTACCTGTAACTCACTCACCCACTCATTCACTCACGCTTTAAAGATGAAGGCAGGGCATATTGTAAGCTGGGGGAGGGAGAGGGAATCCCTGCAGAGTTGAAGTCACCAAGGGACACACAAGCTACCTTGGTGAAGGTAGAGAGGGAAGATGCATACCTGATCAGCTTTCAGATTGTTTTCCTGCCAGATGCACAAGTTTCAAATTCTGTCTTAACTCATTCTAGGAAACAGAATAGGTAGGTTATTTTAAGACATCTAATGGGCAAATTTGCAGTTATGAAATTGTCTGAAATGTGTGTTGGAGATTGATTTATCAGAAAATAGCCACAACCCTGCTTTGTCCACAGCTTGGTGTAGAATGGCTTTCAACGAAAGAAGAAAAACAATATATCAAAAGATAGCCATGGACAGTCATTTCCATCCTGCTGCCCAGGATTTGATGTAAACAACGTTCATAGAAACTGGGATTGTTAAGAAAGTTTATCCATATATCTGGATAGCAATAAAAAGCGTTTCCTAGGAAACTGTAAAATCCTGCACTAAGCAGTGTACAGCCAAGCTGAGAGGAATGTTAGGTTGAATTATACTATAAAGGTAACAACTTTGCATGATTTCTTTCAAATCCTGTGATAATATACAAAAAGGATGCACGTGAAAAGGCAGGATTCTGTGTCTTGTCCCTCTGGAATGCCTCTGGATATGAGACACATTGGTTTGGGGTGCTTGGTTTGTGTTGGTCGCAGCTGATGAGATGGTTAACATTCCTTCATTCTCATTCCAAGGTCAGTTCAGTACTTTTCTTCTGCTACCAATGAAACAACTGTCTCATGTCTTCCCATCTCTTCAAGGACGGTGGCCAGCATGCTCAAATTTCCATCGGGAAAATTTTGGGCTTCCCAAAGGTCTAAGATCACACCGGTGGGACTTGATTTTGTAGCAAAATAATTGAGGTACCTGCAGTGAGAAATCAGATGCTATTAAAACTGTGCTCTTGGCTAAATTTTTTTGCTTATATATAAATGTAATTTACATGGAGCAAAATATAAAATATCTTACATTTTGCTCCATGTAAAAGAGCATTGTTAGGCATGGTTTCTAATCTCATCAGAGATTGGAGTGTATAGTAGATGGAGTACTTTATCAGTATCATTGCCAGGAAGTTACTATGCAGTCATTTATATATGGGGGAATCAACAAAATGCTGCAAAGACAAGATATGGGATTGGTACATAGTTGTCTAATAGGTAACAGGACCAGATGGATATGTTATTGCTGTTGCTTCTTCCCACCTCTACCAAAGCATCACTTTACCATGTTTTGACATGGGTTGGTGATTAAGACGATTAGGTTGATATTCAAGTTTATCGTCTCTAACCTCTGAGTATTCTCAGGGGGTTCAAGATTTCATGACCGTGACAACCAAGGACTAACCTCAAATCTTCACCAGCCTGACACACACTAGGAGGCACACATTAAACATTATTTATACCCCAGGACACTTGAAGTTATCTGTTAGTGCAGGGATATAAGAACTATGCCCTTATTAACGACTTTCTCATGATTATGGAGTTGACTAAGGGTACAAACTTTGGAGAGAGATTGGTCAATTGGATCTCTCCAGGCATTTGATGGATCTAGAGTTTCATAGTGGTACTTGTGGAGTTTTCCAGTGAGTATGGACACTGGGACAGAGAACAGATGGAGCCCTCCGGTATTCTAGTACAGTGTGTCTAATTACTTTACCCTTATCTTTAATGTTACATGAAGCTGTAGGGGAAATTCATGTAATATATAGGTTATGTATCTATCTATCTATCCCAGATGTCTGGTTGATGCAGCTTAAATCTTGTTCTGTTACCTAGAGACTGGATGGAGAGAAACAAATTGAGACTCAGCCCTACTAAATGGATTGGAAGGTAGGATACTATCTGCTTTAGCTTGAGACAGGATTGTGCATGTCCAGAAAGAGTTGTGTGCAATCTGGAGCTGATCCTTGACTGTCATCTTCTGCTGGACAGCAGCTTGAAGCAATGGCTAGGAAGACCTTTGCAATCTTCGGGCAAGGGGACCAGCTGCAATGTTCCTGGAGTAAACCAAACTGGTTCACTTACTTATGCCCTTGTCTCCTCATGAATAGATTGGTTTTGAAAACCATCCACGAACTAAAACTGGTACAAAATACAGAGGTCTACATATTAATTGGGAAACTTGTATTATAATGTAATACAATAGCAAGATTCAGGAATTTCGTTGGATGTTGTGTTCTGAATGCTATTCAAGGTAAATTTTGACGATCACCTTTAAAAACCTACCTGGTTTTGTGGCTCATCTATCTTTGAGAACTCCAAGTTGAATCTACCCATCCAAAATCATGCCTGCAGAAGTGCATGTTTAGTAATCCTACCCTTATAAGGAACCACAAATGGGAATTCAGAGGGAAGGGTGGTCTTGGTGGAAACTCCATCCCATTCCTCTCACCATTAGGAAGAACCATACTCCGATTCTTAATATTTACGATGGTTCTAAAAACTTGGCTTTTAAGATGTATATTTGGGGGCCGATAAGATAAAAATTATGTACCTGATTAAGATGAATACTTGATGTTTTGTATTTATTTTGAATGTATGCCAATATTATTTATTATTATCTGATATGTCTGTTAATTTTGAAATTATTGTAATGCATTAAAATATATATAGTATGTTATATATAAGTGAGAATCATATCAGTGAAGGATACAGAAGCATTTGTAATTAATTAGCATATAAAATAAGCCACCTGGAACACAGGCATTATTTCTGCATGTCCTTCTGCTGTCTCCAGGTATACCATGTTAATAAGAACAGTGTGTCCTTCTTCCCTTCAACTGTCATTTATTAGCAATCTACAATATTATGTTCTTCCCTACTGTTTGATCTGTAGCTCCATTATAATAGTGGTCACTCCAAGAGTGACATGCATTAAAGAAGAAAATGAACCTTCTTTTTTAATGGTTTTTTTTCCTGATCAGTAGAACAATATAATTAAAATGTACTAGAGGCTATCAGTGACCTTTTAATTGTCACATGCTACACATATTAAAGAACACAGAACTTAATTAGAACTTTTACTGCGTGCTTTCTACTCTGGTTTGTGTATATGGGAATGTGCAGAGAAGAGAAAAATACCAAAATAATGCCCAGGAGTATTATTTTAACATATTAATGTTACTGTTTTGGATGAAAAGATTTGATAATTTGGTATACCAAGCCCTCAGCTACAATTTGGATGGGTTCTCCAGCGTTGATTGAGACAATTATTCCCACAGACCAAGGTTGTCAAACTTGATTTCATTAAGGGCTGCATCAGGGTTGTATTTGACCTTGGGGGACCATGGTGGGTGTGGCCAGCTTGACTTCACTTGTACCAGGGGTCCCTGTGGTGGCCCAAGCACTCTGCTAGTGAAAATAGGCTCCCAAGCTCCATTTTCGGCTGTGACAGCTTCCTGTAACCTCTACCATTAAAAATGGAGCTCAGGAGGGCCGCAGACGGCCCTCCCAAGCTCCGTTTTTGCTGGCAGAGGCACTGTGAGCTGGTCTTTCACTGTTTCAAAGGCAGCCCCACAGGCCAGATCTAAGAACCCCAGGGCTGGATTCAGCCCCCAGGCCTTGAGTTTGACACCCCTGCCATAGACCATAAGCCATTATATGACTTACTCCTATGCAATGTCCATGGTTTTATTGGCACAAACCTCTCTGGAAGGAACTTTTTGAAGAGCAGATTTTAATTCTCCCTTACTAATTTCAGAAGTATCAGCAATGCACTGTTAGCACATATGAAAAGGTAACTCAAATAATGTCAAATTTACGTTGACAATATGCTTGCTTACCTGTCCAATTTTAGTTTGTGGGCCAACATCCTCCAATCATGGCCTCTTGTTTGAGGAGCATCTAGGCTACTGCAAAGCTTCTGACGGATAGGAAGAGGGATGCTGAATGCACAGGGTCCTACTATGGTTGTAATGGTGTTTGCTGGATCCATAAGAGGATATTCAATGCCAGTAGGTTCCTGCATATATGAAAAGTAGAAAATATGGCCACACAATAAGCGAGGAGACAGAATTAGATTAACAAAGAAACACTCTATGAAATATAAACCCTTTGGGTTCTATAAGATGTAACATAATGGCTATGAATCTTTGGAAGTTCTACTTTTATATTGCTTTTCTACTACCTTTTATTAGAAAGGCAACGTAAAATACTTTAAAATAAACTTTTAAAATTACTAATGTCTTCAGTTGAGCCATAGCATCCAGGGAATTTCACCACTATCTGTTCCCTATATGGTGTCATAATAACTTAATAAATTAAGCATAGTCTTAATTTTAGGAAACAGTCTGAGACACAGTCATACAGTTCTCTACAATCTGGTGGTTGTAACAATGAATGTTTATTAACATCCCAGTGGAATCATAATGGGGCATTCATGTAACAATGAATAAATTAAATAAAGTTGCTGTTTGGCTTTCATATACCAGTTTCCTATTTACTTGCTTACTTTTTTTTATTTAAAAGATTATCTGGAACAAATTGAGCACTACATTCTTTCCTCTGCTTATATAGTCGTATATATAATAGAACGCTGATTTTTTAAAGTTGCAATTGATAATTAATATACCAAGAATGACTTGCTGTATTTTCCCCATTCTTTAGTTGAATATCTTTGAGTAAATTTACTCAAAGATATTTTACTAGTGCTGATTTTACTTCACTAGTTGTTGCCAACTATAGGAAGTGGTGTTCATCTCCATTTCAAGTCCATCGAGCCAGTGCTGTCCAGAGACATTTCCATGGTCATGTGGCCAGCATGACATCAAGGAATGCTGTTACCTTCCCACCAAAGTGGTACCTATTTATTTATTTGCATTTGCACGCTTTCAAACTGCTAGGCTATCAGGACCTGAGGCAAGGACGGGAGCTCACACAGTCACGTGGCACTAGGGTCTTGAATGCAAGCTGTCGGCTTTACAGCTGACAAGCCCAGGTCTTAACCTCTAAGCCACCACGCTGCCCATATCCTTGAATGCCACAAGCAAATCATTCCATGTGTTGCACTTGAGAGAATTCCACTGTGCTGCTGCTAGAGAACAATCCTCAGTCAAAAGATGCTGATGGCTATCAATGATGTATGTAAAGAGCTTAAGGTTCTATTTCTGTTTGTTTAGGTAGGTTTTTCAGAGTTAGCAAAAGTCCTCTCTTTAAATCTGTAAAGTTAATATCAGTCATTGCCATAGTCCTGAACCAGATAGATGAAGACTCTGGCCTATTATATAACAATTCCTTCAGCCATTTTTCCTCCAGACAAAATCACCCATTTTTCCTCCAGACAAAAGGTAAGCATCAACAAATGTGAGAAAAGGCCAAGTCAGATCATACTTCAGATAGAATATGTGAACATATGAATAGTTTATTATGGTATTTTAAAAGTTCAGGGAGAATGGTGCAAAAATATTTTTCTGCATAACTGAAATATTTTACTCCTACCATCACCATTGTATTTTTGCAGATAGTTCTTGTTCATAAAAGATAAAATTCACAAGTCTTTTTTAAAAATAAGACATTTCTGCAACAGGAAATGTCATAATAAAATGAAGATTTGAAATCCATTGGTTATACTATATCAAGAAACCAAATTGCTCTCCCCACCCAAATGAAATACAAATAACAATGTAAACACAACCCTGGGAATCCTGGTAGCACTGAAAATGCTCACATAACCCATGGACACATAATATGTAATATTCCAAATCAATTTACAAAGTGTAATCATCTCCATTTACAGATAATTAAGAGTAAAACACTATCATCACCACCTCCCCCATCTTTATAATACAGCCCTACTATGCCGTTGCTTTTTTACTTCTTTTCTTGAAAATAGTACTATACTTCTTGGAAAACAAGATGATGTATAAGCCTGGCAGAAGCATGTTATCAAAAATTGTAGTAATACATATATAGCATGCATACACATACACAGACACACATACACAAACACCCATTTACAAGAAAACCTTACATGACATTTGCAGGAGATGAAACCAATAAAAACGTATTGTTTCAGGATATTCTATCTCTAGCAAAGCAAAGGTTATGTTGTTGGTAAACTACTAAATAATAAAAAGGAATCTGCTTTAAATGTCAGTTTCTTTATATTTCATCTACAGGTTTGAGTACAGCAGTATTCCAGAACTCATTTCAATCAATAAAACCAATGTTAGACCTTGTCAGTGTCACAGTATAATCAACATTTGAGAATGTAAATAAATTTCACCTGTGTAGTAGATGAAGCCTGACATAGGTGGATGTAGTTGGATCAAAATGATTGCTCACAGACTATATTCTATACATTAGAATTGCTAGGGTAATTTTTCCAAACAAACGACAGCAAGAACTTTAGGGACATAGAAAAGGGTTGAACATCTATTTTACAGATGCTATAACAATAAAGACTGATTCCATATCCCTACTTGGACTAAAATCCATAGTAGAGAAAAAAGACAAGAGCCACAGAAACACAGTGGTTAGAGTGCCGTGCTGCAGGCTACTTCTGCTGCCTGCCAGCTGCCTGTAATTTGGCAGTTCAAATCTCACCAGGCTCAAAGTTGACTCAGGCTTTCATCCTTCCAAGGTGGGTAAAATGAGGACCCAGATTATTGGGGGCTCTGTAATAGTTTAGTTTAGTTTATTGTCATTGCACCTCGTACAATGAAATCAAATCTTCAGTGCACATCATGACCATGACCATGAAAATAAACACAAACACACATCCTTCACCCTCCACACATTGAACCGAAAACCCCTGACACAGCACCAATACTGCACTATACAGCAGAATTCAAAAGAGCTACTGCTCTGGGATAGAAGGTGTTTCTCAGACTATTTGTTCTTGTTTTTATTATTCTGTACCATCTGCCAGATGGTAATAGTACAACAAAAGGGTTCCCAGGATGAGATGGATCTTTGAGAATGTTTTGAACTTTCTTAAGGCAGTGGGAGCTATAAAGCTCTTCTAAAGAGAGGAGAGGGCAACCAATGATCCTCTGGGACATTAACCGTCTGGAGTGCTGTCCTATCTGCCACTGTGCAATTGGCAAACCATACAGAGGTGCAGTAAGTTAAAATACTCTCTATGGTGCAGCGATAGAAGGTCACCAGCAGTTTTTCATTCAGTTGTTTCCTGAGAAGTCTCAGGTAGTATAATCTCTGCTGGGCCCTTTTGACCAGTGCTGCAATGTGGGCACCCCAGGTCAGGTCCTCTTTTATGGTAACACCTAGAAACTTAAAACTGGCCACTTGCTCCACTCGGTCTCCATTGATAAGCAAGGGCTGGATGTCTGATCTGTTCCTTCTATAGTCCACTTAGAGAGGGCTGCAAAGCACTGTAAAGCAGTATACAAGTTTAAGTGATATTGCTATTTACTGACTCATAGGCATTTTGCACACTCTCAGCCAAATTTGTCACGTGGGTGCTACTGACTTTACAAAGTAGGAATTATGTACCTAACAGTGCCAGGCTGCTGGGTTATAGTGCCTAGAGCAGTGTTTTGCAACCTTGGCAATTTTAAGAGAGATAGACTTTAACTTCCAGAATCCTTCATCCAGCCATGATGAATTCTTGGGAATTGAAATCCACGCCTCCTAAAGTTGCCATGGTTGAGAAACACTAGCGTAGACTTTAAAGGGGCCACATCAAAAAGTAAGAAAAAGGCCAACCCTGAAAAGTCAACATTCATTTTCTGGTTTCCTAACACATTCTTCTTCTCTTCTGCAAAGGACTCAAAGTATCCACTGGATTATAATGAAAGTTGGGGCCAAATGTCACTTCCGATCCTCTGATTTTGTCATTTTTTAAATTATTTAACACTTAACAGAATAACACAGTTATTCTGCTTAGGCAGGTTATTCAGAGTTATTAGAGTTATTCTGCTTATTCTGCTTGGGCAGGAAACTCCATACCGTTTCAGATTAATGGTTGTCCAATCTTTTCTTCAAATCTTCCAGTGTTGGAGCATTCACAACTTCTGGAGGCAAGCTGAACTCCTGCCTACCCTAACCCATTGTGCAATATGACCAGTTTTATGAATTACAAGAGGTCAGTAGGAAATTCAGAACTTGAGCACAAGTGATAAAGTTACACACTGGGCCATGAAACTTTTTGTAGTACATTGAAGTATTGATCAGCAACTATCAACTTTCCTTTATTTCCCAAAATGTTATTATTATCAGTACATCCAAAAATCAGAACTCTGAATTTATATAAATAATTATCACTTCGCTATCCTGAGTGAAGGTATTCATTCTCCAATCTCTCAAAAGCCATCTAATTGTCTTAATGACAATTTTGCAATACTGAGAACAAGGACTGGAAATGTGCTCCCCACCCCTTGAGCTGATACTACTATCTCAATGTTACACTAAAAGAAAACAAAGGACAAACAGACAGACAGATAGACACTCACAAGCCAAGTAGATTGGTGCTTTATATATGGCTTTATATATGGCATTCCAATTAGAAGGTGAAAACTTATCAGAATTGTGTAAGTTTTATCCCTGCTTAGTTGCTAGAATTACTGAGGAGAAGGGAAACTATCAAGTCAGTATTTCTCTTACAAGGCAGAGCAACTAAAATTAGAAAGATGGGTTTGGAAATAACTCTGCTTAGTAAGAAAATGGGTCAGACCAAGGTTCCATGAAGCTCCAGTATTTCCAGGTGAATGGCAAATTCATTTCATAGGAACAGAAGGAAATTTTCTCTACTACTAAACAGGGGTTATGATATTGGAATGACCAAAAAGACTTTTTAAAATGCCTTTTCTCCCAAGGTGCTAAAGCAAAGTTAATGGCAAATGATATCTTTATCCTCTACCTTGGTTATTCTACATTATTGGGCAGGTGTGTACATGGAGAAGACGGAAGGGTTCTTGTTAAAGCAGAGGTGTCCAATCTTGTCAACTTTAAAACTTGTGGACTTCAACTCTCAAAATTCCCTACCAAGCATGAATGGCTGCAGAATTGTGGGAGTTGAAGACCACATGTTTCAAAGTTGACAAGTTGGACACCTGTATTTTAGAGTGACAAAAAGGGACATAGACAGCTGCGAAGAAAGAAAATTATGAAATATATCATGACTTCACGACATAACCACGACTTGCATACTTGTGTCAGATATGGGAGAGCAAGTAGATAAGAGTGAAGTTTGCTGCGTGTCATCACTGTGGACATGTCATAATTTAGACACAATCCTTGTTTCATGTAGAAATCTAAGAGGAGAGCGTGCAGAATTTTTTATGCTCTGATTTTAATCAAAAACAGAAAAGGACATGAGAACTGGTAAAACATTTCAAAATATATTTTGAAATGGCTTTTTTATTCATTCATTCATCAAATTAGCATCAGTATTTTTTAAAATACTGGTCCTTCATTCAACAAAAATTAACAAAACATTGACGCTTATTTGACTTTAGCAGTGCATTTGGATGTCTGGGCTTCATGTGGAAGTGACGCGGTAGCAATAGGAAAGGACTGTCTCAATAATGTAATACAATGAATGCATTGGTGCAAAAATCAGTTACTACTTTTTGAAAGGTGAACTTTATCAACAAGACAACTATATAATGTAATATAGATTTTCTGAGGTGAAAATGAGTCTGTCATAGTGGTTGGAAGCAGTAACTGAAAGGAATTGTAAAGTTTGTGCTTTCCCAACTGGAAACTTAATCTTCAAATCCTGACACTCCCTTCATGCCCCCAGTGTATGTTCTGGTGGAGTGAAGCAAATAGTTGCTTTTACTCCTTTTCAAGTACTTCAATACAATTATGATAAAGAAGAAAATGATGCAACTTTGTATGCCCTATAACAGGGGTATCAAACTTACGGCCCGTGGGCCAGATGCATCATGTGCTGGCCCTGCCTCTACCCAGTTTAGTGAAGGAGAAAAAAGTCCCGGTATATCACATGACATCACTGCCGTGATGACGCGGGTTTGATACCCCTGCCCTATAATATATAACCAGTCTTCTAGTCTAATGTACTGATACATAATAGCTTTTTCAGGGTGATTAAGAAAAAAAATGAAGTTGAGCCATTCCGTGGATTTCTTTTAACTGTTTGAGAAAGAAATATTATATATAAATATAGTAAATATAGAGCTGTGGAATTGCAGTATTCTAGGCTAGCTCTGCCAACTGCCAGCAGTTCAGTCCTGACCAGCTCAAGGTTGACTCAGCCTTCCATCCTTCCAAGGTCGATAATATGAGGAGCCAGATTGTTGGGGACAATATGCTTACTCTGTAAAGCACTTAGAGAGGGCTGTAAAGCACTATATAAGTCTACGTGCTATTACTATTGCTAAATAGATCCTCAGCAGAAGCCAGGATAGATGATCAGATGAAAATTAACCTGACTTTGTAATCTGACTATATCAAATCTTAACTTAATACTATCTAACAGGGCCTTCTGAAGAATTCATTCTTATCATAGTTAATATTAGACCCACTTTTTTCATAAATATTCTAATATTTACATCAATACTTAGGGAATGACTATATGATCAGATTTGATTAGTTATTGCTTTACAATATTTCATAATAACTTTTAACTTCTTAAGACTTTTCTAGCATGAGGATTTGTTTTAATTACACTGATTTCAATGTTATAATTTTCAAGAATTATATTCACTGATTAGAATTTTAATACATTTAAATACACACATAAAGGTCATTGGTCACTGGACCAGATAATGGATTTAAAAAAATATAACTAAAGATACAAATTCATAAAATTCATGGGACAATAATGAAATGAGTTGGAGGATGGTAGCTCATTATTTCTGGTTTTCACCAAAAGTTCACTTGACAAAGAGATAATTGCAGATGACCAAAAAAGTTATGTGATTTTTGATGGAGAAGAGAGGAAAGGATAGAATAGAATACTTTATTGGCTAAGTATGATTGTCTTTGGCCAAAGAATTCGACTTTGGTGCGGAAGCTCTCAATGTACATATAAACAATGAAGTAATATAATCCTAAAATACCAAAAGGAGAAAGTAGTAGAAAAGATGAGAAGGGTAATAGTAATACAGACATACTACATGGGTAAATATCCTTAGACATAGGACAGTACTGTGGTTATTAGGTGTTCATCAGAGTGATGGCTCAAGGGAAAAACCTGTCTTTGTGTCTAGTTGTTTGACATGCAACGCCCAATAGCAGCATCCTGAGGTAAGGAGTTGAAACAGTTTATGTCCAGGATGTGAAGGGTCTGTAGATATTTTCTCAGCTCTCTTTCTGACTGGTGCAGTATACATGTCCTCAGTGGAAGGTAGGCTAGTTGCAGTTATTTTTTCTGCAGCCCTAACTATCCATTGAAGTCTGTACATGTTCTGTTTGGTTGTTGTACCAAACCAGACAGTTAGAGAAGTACAAATGACAGACTCAATAATTTGTCTGTAGAACTGTATCAACATATCCTGGGCCAGTCTGAACTTTCTGAGTTGACTCAAGAAGAACATTCTTTGTTGTGCCTTTTTAATGATGGTTCTGGATCGATACAGAGCTTTGTTATCAGCTACAGAGGCTTCAGGAAAGCCTTGCTGGCTGCAGAAGAAATGGGCTGGCACGACAGGTGTCGGGGTGTGTGAAGCCTGGCTACAACTGTCCAAAGGTAAGTAGTAGGGCAGCTCCACCACCCCCATCCCTACCCTAGCTTAATTTTTACCCGTGCATTCTGGAGGGTTTATTTTGGGGAGTAGGGCTTATATTGGGCGCACATGTAAAAATCAAGCTAGGACTTACTTTCAGGGTAGGTATATTTTCGGTGAAACAGGGTATTGATACTGTGTGTTTAATATTGTAAGAGGTGGAATAGAATAGAAGGTCTCCTCCTAAAACCCACTATTGTCGCTTACAGTTTTCAGTGTAAGGATTGGCAAGCACATTTGTTTCATTCATACAATGAAATACATATTTTCAAAAACAGAGATACCACTGTGTATATCATTCTCAGTGGCTTCACACATTTGTGAGAAATTTGTGATATGGCTCTTGAATGTTTCTACTCCCTGATGACAAGGAAGAAAAAAGGTACTTCCCTAGTCCTCATTTCCCTTACAGCCAATACTTTGCACTATCATAATTTTTAGATATGGTGTCATCTGCTGCTACACAATCCTTATCAGCATTTTCCCCAGCCGCCGCTGCATATAGAAGCTTATGCTGTAAAAGAATCATGAAATAAACCTTACTAAATCTTCCATAAAGTCTTTACAGTGATGTCACTGTCCCCTTTGAGGAAAAAAAATGCCCACAAAAGGGGGATTTTCTTAATCTTTCCATTTGCTTCTCTGTCTGATCCATTTTTTTTTCTTTATCCACCAGCCCTGGTAGACAGAGGCAGCATTTATCAAAAGGACCGCTAGATCTTTCCCTATCCTGAATTTCTGTTCCTCCAGTTGTTGCTGGAGTTGTGCGCTTATTGAATGACATAGACCTGCTGGGCTCAGAAATAAAAACACCATCCAAAGCCAGCAGGGGTGGAGCTGTGTGGCTCAGAGATATGGCCAGCAGAACGAAACTGATGGCTGGTTGCTATGGTGCTGAGACACCAGAATCATTCCTTATTAATGTCAGTGAGGTCTTTCTTTGGAGTTGTTTTTAACTGAAAAGGCTAGTGAAAGTCAGAAAGAGAGTACCAATTCTGCCACAGCATGAAGCAGAAGAAAGGCCAAGGAAGTGATTTTAAGGCTAACACTTCATTCTGGGAGATAGAAACGAAGAGGAAAGGTTTCGGTCTAATGATTTTTTTGTCCCTGATTATATAGCAACAATGGCAGGACTTAAAACACTTTCAAAATAAAATTACATTTTAATAAGGGTTGCCCTGCTTTTATCCCATTTATGCTCCTAAGTAGACCCATTCCACTGCTCAGGTTTGACTCCTGATTAAAATTCCCAAAACAAATTTGACTGTCTATGGTCATTCCTACTGCTCAACTTAATATTATGGCATTTTTATTGATTATGCTAGATCTTCATAAGACAAATCTGAATTGCAATAGTGGCAAATAGTGGCAAATCTGAATGTTACCACAATATGGATGACAGTGACCAAGCTATCTCTATATAGGAGAAGCTGCAAATGGCAGAAATTGCTTCATATCAGAAATGCCAACTAAACATCTAAATTTAACATCTCTGTTGTGCTGAAAACTAGGCTCTTCATGGGAAAAGGGAAGCTATATTACAGAACAACTGTCTTTCAGCCTTAGATAACCCCTAGTTTCTGTCTTGCCAATATTATCTTTCCTTTTCTTATGTGTTCATTACATAAAAGATTTCCAGACAAAGCCATCCTTCTGTCATGTTGCTCGATGGTTTTATTTCATTAACTTCAATGAAACAATAACACCTTTCAATTCAGTGGTGGTATTCAGCCGGTTCGGACTTGTCCTGGCATACTGGTAGTGGAAATTGTGAGTAGTTCAGAGAACCAGCACATACCACCTCTGGCTGGCCCCGCCCACCTGCCCTTACCCTTTCCTGTCCTATATTCCCTTGTTTTTTTAGCGCAGTTGATTCATGTGGCAGAGTATATTGCCGCACCTCAGGTGAGCTAAAAACAGCTCACCTCACTAGCGGTGACACAGAGGGCATTTTTTGACTGCTGCGTACATGCATGAAGCGCTCTCTCATAGAACTGGTAGGAAAAAATGTGGAATCCCACAACTGCTTCAATCCTAGTTGGTCAAATCAAGAACTTTTGCATAGTCTCAGTTTCTACGCTATTTCTTTGATCTGTAGACAATGAATATCTTCCTCTGAGGATTTACCCAGCTGTGAGAAAAGTGAGAGTGGAGAGATGCCTCACCTCAGACACCACACAGTTGAGTTGGAATATCTGCCCTTCTCCTTCCACCTGCCGTATACAGAGTTTGCATACCAACTCCAGCGTGTTCAGGCTGAACCTTTCCAGGGTGAAGGTACAACGCAAATTTCTTTGACATCCACTCCAGATATGGTAAAAGGGAATTTCCTGGAGAAGAAATAACACCGATAATAAAAATAAATTTCTGATTTTTCACTTAGTCCAATCTGTGCTGGATGTAAATTTCACATGACTAGGTTATTGTAACAATTGATGAAATATAGTTAAGAGTAGAATGGAAAGAAATGAAAAAGTAACATTTCCATAACAAAATGCATAATTAAGGTAAGTATATATTTAACATGTTTGTTCTCCAGACAAATATGCTCCAGAAATTTAACCATAGTCTGGGACTTCTGGGAACAGAAGTCCCAATTCTTTCAAATGGTATTTGAGAGTCTACAACAAGAAAAAGTTTCTAATTTAGACTTAATTTAATGCCAAATGACTGAGTTTTCTGTAACAGATACTTATTAAATTCCACTACTGCATTTTTGTAAATTCCTGAAGAGATTTCTATCATCATATAATATTTGCATTATAAAAGGAGTTAATTCTTGGAATTAACAATAATGAAGCCAGGTAGGCAGGTAGATCAATTCCACCTATGTTATAGTTTTTCAGTTTTCCTTACTCCATACTATCAAATATTTCTCCATTGTTTCTGTAATCATTATATCAATAATCAACTTCAGATTTTATTTATTTTTATCCCACCTTATTACTTTATAACTAATGCAAGGCAGCAAACATACATTATACTTCTACGTCTTCTATTTTCTCCACGACAAAAAAAACCTGTGAAGTAGTTTGGGCTAAGACAATGATTGGCCCAAAGTCACCCATCTGGCTTTCATGCCTAAGGTGGGACTGGAAATCACAGATTCCTGGTTTATAGGCCAGCATTCTGACCACTCACCAGACTGGCTCTCTCACCTAAAGGTAACATTCAAGATCTGTGGAAAGGTAATGATACACCTTTCAATAATTATTATGAGGACAACACATAAGAATAGTTCTGTAGAACCAGGCCAAGAGACATTTTGCTTCTCATTAGCCGACTGGACTTTGGGATACTTGCATATAGGAGTCTGAGTCTGAAGTACTCTCAAACAACAGATAATAGTGAGCCATGAAGACTAATACTACAGTACTTGGCAGATTTGTCTTCTATTGGTTTTCCCTATTTATTTTTTTAAATAAAACTATTTAAGTTTGTGGCTATCATCACATCTTGTAATGAATGAATCTGGTAATGAATTCCACAGGTTAATTATACGTGGTTCAGTCATATAGCCTATTAGCCCACTAGTTCTTTTTCACATACAGCTCACAACCCCTTAGTGTGCATATGACATTAGTGATACTTTTTGCCTCAATATGCATCACTTTACACTTACTTAAATGAAACGGATATGCTGTTAGGTTGGCCCCTTGTCCAGTTTAAAGAGATACCATTGCTACCAGGTTGATGTTTTCAGTGAACCTGGTGTGTTCACTTTGTATTCCTTATCAACATCCTTTATGAGCATTTAAAAATATAAATCCCAATACACATACCAACAATGCAAATAGAATCATTTAACCAAACAATGTAGTAGCAGGTGTTAAACATTCATTTATCCTTATCAAGTATTCAGCAATTTCAGAGATCCTGTATTCCCACTTGACTTTGCAATACTGGATGATGCTTAATATTGCAAGAGGGCTGATGAATTCTCCTAGAATTTGGCAATTCTTACCTGGTATTTTGCTAGTAGTTTACTCTTCCATAGGGAGTGAGTAATATCATGAATAGATAAGCGAAGATTATGAGTGCTACTCTTAAAATGTAAAGCCTTTGGGTCCTCCAATAATTGTCCACCCATTTGCCTCTCCAACTGTAGCACTTCCTGAATGTTGCAAGAAAGACAAAGTACATTTAGCATGGTATTAAAAGAGTCATTGATAACATATAAATTAAAACAAAAGTTGTACAACCCTGCTCTGTTATGTGAACTCAAGATCACATAAATTAGTCATTCATTCATTCATTTTTTCATAGCATCCACTTAGCCTAGTGACTTTGGATGGCTTACAATTCTAAAACAATTTTTAAAAAAATATTTAAAAAAAACCTCACAAAATTAATTCATGCAAACAGCAGCAGTGATGATTAATCAACTAATAATAAAACCAAGTAACGGGGCCCTAAATACATTTGGAATTCCAAGCCCAGCTACATAGACAACATTTTAAAACTTTGCAAAAATTTAACAGAATTGGAGCCATTCTACTCTCCGAGGGGAGATTCTGTAAGGGCTAGAGCAGAAAAATCTCTGAAACTATGTTATTGGCTACGGTACTGTGTTTTATAGATGAAAGGAGATTTGAACCCAGATCTCATTGCTGTAAGTTGGGTCTTCTTTTCTGTACACTGAAGAATTATATACTCATAATGACTCCTAAATAGGTTATGAATTGATCAGCACAGGGAAAACATTTTGCAAAAGGAAAGACTTCCTTGCTGAGTGCAAGGAAGACATCTGTTATACAAACCAGTTGTAGGGCAAGCCAGAACCTGGTCAACATGAAAGATAAGGACTAAATATGGCCCTATTCTGATTCAAACAGGAAATACCTCCAGAGGTGGTATTCAGCCGGTTCGGACTGGTTCCGATGTACCGGTAGCAGAAATTTTGAATAGTTCGGAGAACCAGCAAATACCTCTGGCTGGCCCCACCCACCCACCCACCCTGCCCTTTCCTGTCTTGTATTCCCTTGGCTTTTTAGCTCAGCTGATTCGGATGGCAGAGCGAATTGCCACGCCTCAGCTGAGCGAAAAAGCAGCTCACCTCACTAGCGCTGACACAGAGGGCGGTTTTTGAGTGCTACACGAAGTGCGCTCAAACCGGTAGGAAAAAATATGCAATCCCAACCCCGGAATCCTTGATAGGATAAATTGTACGGTATATTTACTATGATTTTGCAAAATGATCCCGCAAATCAAAACTAATGTAATTTCTGTTTGAATGTTCATTAGACTAAGAGGGATCTTTTTTCTGTACAAGGCTGAACGTCTTACATTGCCAGTAATAATCCAAAGCAGAGGAAGACTCCCTTCCTTCCTACTGAAATCATAATTAGAGGAGCAATGCTGCACTTCATAAACGAAGGTAAAAAGGGACTTTAGGGCACACGTGTAACATCTGTCACAACTCCTGGAACTAGACTCATCTTTTTCTGGCATGGCTGTGGAGTTGCAGTCCTGTTAATTAATTGATTGGACTTTGTAAATCACATCCATAGTTTTCCCCCATGTGAGCATGCACACTCTGCACACATAAAAGATAGAAAATATGTCTTTTCTTCAACATACAAGATCATTATGATGATCGTGCTCACAAACTATTTAGCATAACTGAGAAGGCTGTTGTCTCCAACTAACCTGACAATTCTTAAAGTCAAAATGGTGTTTGCATTTAAATGGGAGGGGGGCCTAATTAGAAAGCTTTTAGAATTACATTCTGCCAGTCAGTTTTAGCTTATTCCAAGAACACCTTAATTATCTTGTGAAGATGCCTAAAAACCAAAGCGGCAATAATAATTTGATTGCTATCAATGTTAATTACACCCAAATTATATTCCTGAGTTGCGAGAAGGAAAATTTGTTGTATCTCCTTACTGATATATTCCTTATGCAGCCTCTATATTGTTGCACATAATTAAGATTCACTTAAACAAGAAAATTTAATAACACTACAATCATTATTATCTGGTATTCCTACTCAATTTTTCAAAGCAATTCAATACAAACTTGAAAGGAAGATGGATATGAATATACAGTATTTCTAGTTTCATGTTACAAGCAAGGGAACAAACATTTTAAGGTTTCCTTGCTTTACCCGCCAAACATGGAAAAGTTGACATTAGGGATTTTTTGTGAGTGAATAAGGAAATGGATAACAGAAAGAATAAAGTTTTTTCTTGGTTAATGAATTGGATTACATGTAGAAAGAGTTAGATTCAAGTCCTGTTTGAATCATCATCGCTGACTAGGTAACACTACTAATAATTATGTAATAATAATAAGCAAATTTAGGGAACACAGTGGCTCAGTGGCTAAGATGTTGAGCTTATCAATCAGAAAGGTTGACAGTTCGGCGGTTCGAATCCCTAGCACCATGTAATGGAGTGAGCTCCCTTTTACTTGTTCTAGCTACTGCCAACCTAGCAGTTCAAAAGCATGTAAAAATGCAAATAGTAAAACAGGGACCACTTTGGTGGGAAGATAACAGTGTCCCGTGCGCCTTCAGCATTTAGTCATGCCAGCCACATGACCACAAAGACATCTTCAGACAGTGCTGGCTCTTTGGCTTTGTAATGGAGATGAGCACCGCCTCCTAGACCCGGAAATAACTAGCACGTATGTGCGAGGGGAACCTTTACCTTTACCTAATAAGCAACTTTACATGAAATAGCTTGCATCCGGAGACAATACCTTTACATCACCAATATCTTCCTATCCCAGATTCTTGGGAATGACTCAATAGTGTCAGTCTTGATTAAAATGCCAAATCCACTCTGAACATCTGAGTGACTATGCGACCAATATAACACAATAAAAAAGATGTTGAGACTTTAGAAAGAGTGCAGAGAAGAGCAACAAAGATGATTAGGGAACTGGAGCCTAAAACATATGAAGAACGGTTGCTGGGACTGGGTATGTCTAGTTCAATGAAAAGAAGGACCAGGGGTGACATGACAGCAGTGTTCCAGTATCTCAGGAGCTGCCACAAAGAAGAAACATTCAAGCTATTCTCCAAAGCACCTGATGACAGGACAAGAAGCAATGGACAGAAACTAATCAAGGAGAGAAGCAACTTAGAACTAAGGAGAAATTTCCTGACAGTGAGAGCAATTAATCAGTGGAACAACTTGCCTTCAGAAGTTGTGAATGCTCCAACACTGGAAGTTTTTAAGAAGAGATTGAATAACTATTTGTCTCAAGAGGTGTAGGGTTTCCTGCCTAAGTAGTGGGGTTGGACTAGAAGACCTCCAAGGTCCCTTCCAAGTCTGTTATTATTCTATTCTACAGTGCTTTAAAAGAAAACTAAACTTCAAAACAACTTTAGCATGTTTTAACTTACTCAAAAGAAACATGCAGTGTTATAAGATTCAGAGGGCTGATTTAATCTGAATGCCTTACAGTGTTTGTATGGTGCCTTGTTATTTTTTGTCATGACACATGTTTGACATAAAACTAGAATAAGTAGGCAAGTGTACTGCTAACTTCTTTTAACACACCTATCCTTACTTTAATCTAGTGTTACAGTACTAAAAACAGCTATAAATGGACCTGCTGTTTGGATACAAGTTCATGGAAGTTGGCTTGAATGTCTCCTTGGTGCTATGCACAACACTCATGGAATGTACGATGTGTAACTTGCCAAATGCTTCATAATGCTTCTGTTGTCCTGCCTAGTCAAATGTATGGCAAAGTATGATGGGAGCATTCAGCTCAGTTCCAGGATAAGGCTATATAAGTAAGCATGGGATTTATTTAGTCAGACTGGAATACAAATAACTTGTATATTATTATACATTACACTCTTTTGTATATTAACCAATACAACATTTAAAAAATAGGATGTGTATCTATGTTAAGTACCCTGAATTCCTAAAAACTATTTGGCTCCATGGAAACCCAAAAACTTTGTAAGACCTTCACAGACTTCCTTGCATAAGCCCGCAAGTGAGTTGCCTCTATTAGTAATTCTCAGAAGACACTTGTTTGCACATAAAACGTCTGGCGAGTATGAGACAACGCCGACCGATTCTGTGGGCCAAAATGGGCAGATAAGAAAAAATAATTTATCTCTGCGAGACTAAAACCCTGACATTGCTTGGAACTTAATCCCCTTTTAATGAGCTTGAGATGCAAGCAATAATATTCTAATGAATAAAATGCAGTAATTTTTTAACCATCAGATACTGTCCAAAGAAACCACATGTGGTCCAGAAAAGTTTTGCCAGCGTGTATTCTATTGCTATGCGCAAAACGTAGTCATCGAAAGGATAGTAAAACCAATTGAATCTCACCCCTGACTACTACCACTATCAGTAGTGGTGCAATAGAAATAACAACAGTAATAATTTGTTCTATTCTATAAATGGCATTGCCAATGGTAGCTGGAGTCATATGGATTTGCAAGCCGTGCACAACAATCCGATTTTAGGAAGACTTTGTGGATATATTTACTAAAGCCTTATGTAAGCCGTTAAGAAAAACACACTACAAATAAAGACTCAGATATCAATAATGTTGTGCTTAATGATGGAGAGTATAACTGCACCATAGATTACAACTTCAAAAGAGGTGACAAGCTGTATCTCTTGGTATGGAAACCCTGCTGTGAATTAGTTGCATTCACATGAATGGATAAGATTGTGTGTAGGAATACAGAAAGTTGGATCATTTATGTTACAAATTTTCAGTGCAAACACTGCAGCCAAAGTTATCTAGCTAAGCAATACAACAGCAGGATTGCATTAAAAACCCGGAGGTTCTTTTATCATTATAAAGTATTTACAAAGAGGCATTTATATGTTTTGTTCCTCTGGGGAGCTGGCACTTTGCATCAAAAATACATGAACCAGCAATTAAATTTTTGAGCACCTTATGGCCTTTTAATAATGCAAACATCGTGGAATCCAGATTTCATTGCAGGTAAACAAAACAATAAGGCATTCTGGGAAAAGAATTAGCTTATAGTGTGAGGAAAATGATGATGAAAAGATCATTGTTACAATTTAATCTGCATTTTTTTTTGGTCTTAATCATGCTCATCTTTTGTTATAAAACAGATTGGTGGACATTTGCAAGCAAACAATGGTAAAGTCCAAAAGTAAATATTAAAGCAATATAATGATGGCAATAGCACTTAAACTTATATATCGCTTATATAGTGCTTTTACATCCCTCTCTAATCGGTTTACAGAATCAGCCTATTGCCTCCAACAATCTGGGTCCTCATTTTACTGCCCTCGAAAGGATGGAAGGCTGAGTCAACCTTGAGCCTGGTGAGATTCAAACAGCTGGCAGTCAGCAGAAGTAGCCTGCAGTACTGCATTCTAACCATTGCGCCACCACAGCTCTTGGTGGCAAGATATAATAATAACAGTAATAGCAATAACAAGAAATGGAAGAGGAAAGAGAGACCATGATGATATCAAAAATGAAAATTACTTTGAGGGCATCTTGGGTGTCATCCAGACAGTAGACACGGATGTTGTATTCCAAGGATGAACAGATCAGTGGCCCAAATATGGCCAACTTCAGACGTTTTGTGGCTGCTTTGGTGACTGATTGCCCTACTAAGGCATAGGTGCTAAGAGTTTCTGTGAGGATATGGCATGCCTCTGGATCCAACTGGATATAACATGGAGTAGTGAAGTTTTCTTCTCCAACTGCTACTACATCCTGAAAAGATCAAAGACAATCAAATAAGAACAATTTAAAGGCTTGGACAATGTCAACATCAATACATCAATGCATACTATTCAGGCAATAGTATTGCTTTTCCAGTTACAATACCATGGAGACATGTAAAATATTTGGAGAAATCTGAGAGTAATTGATATCAAGCAAAGTGTGTTTCAGGAAATAGAATTCAAATAAATCAGTGATATATAGTAGCTTTCAAAATACTTGCTCACTTATTTACTCTATATTTGACTATTATTTTATATAATATGTTTTACTAATATTTCAAGTATGGGTATCCCCAATTTATTTTGATTTTCAGAAGCAAATTAAATTATTTTATGTTTGATGCATTTAGCCCTTTTCTATGCAATGATTCAAATCCGGACTTTTAATAAAAGCATACATGCATATTTCATTAAAGAAAAATATTCACCCAATAAGTGGCAAACGTATCATGACATAAACATTACAAATATATAATAATTTTAACATGGAGAGAAATAAAGGTGGAAATTGACATTTGCCAAAGATGGCGTAGGCAGAACCATATACATCAACAAATCTGTATGAGGACAATGGGCAAAAATTAGAGAGAAAAAGAAAAAAAAAGAGTTATAATTAGAGGTTCAGCATTAGGTCACATAAAAGATACTTGTAAATATTAGTGTCATGCTCCCCCCCCCCCATCGGAGTCTGAATCTGCAGGGGAGGATGAGATGGAACAAGAACTGACAGAGAGTGAGAGGGCCTTGGAGGAAATTGGGGAAGGGCAGAGTCAGTCCAGGCATGGCTTTTCGAAATTAGTGAGGCCTGCAAACAGGGAGGAACAGAGTTCAGACGAGGGGCAAGAACCACCCCTACTGATGCAAGGGCTTGGAGAGTGCAGAGAAGGAGGAATCAGCTCAGATGGAGCAGGCCATGCATGAGGAGAGAACCCCACCCAGCTTCACCAGGCACACCTGGGGAATGAGGTGACTCCGTGGGGAGGTTCATTTGTCAGAACAACTGCTGAGGTCCTGAAGTGTTGTGTGCTGAAGTTTGAATGTGCCAAGGAACCTTGCGTTCCTGTGTGGTGTTCTAAACTGATTATCTGGATATTTTGCTCCCTGAATTCCTTGCTTTGCTCTTCTTTTACCAAATACATTTAGGATTTGTTGCCGTGTAATTGCAACCAGACACTGCTTGAGGTTGGTGTGATGGGGGTTTATTATCACCCTGCTTGTCAGTAACGTGGAAGCATTTGGGGGAGATTTGGAGCACAAAAGGGACAGTTTGAACTGTCAGCTCTTCGTGTTATCTCTGTGCCGTACCCTGGGTCATCGCATTTGCAAAGATACTCACTTCCCTTTTTGAGTAAGGAGTTGAAAGGAAGACGAACTGCTTAGAGAATTTGGAAATTTAGACACCCAATGACAGCTACCACATATGCAGTGATAATGGGAAAGATCACTGAAACATCAATTCATGAACATTTCCCCCATTGCCTCAAAGTAAGATACCTAGTAATCTTGATCTTATAAATGAATCAGTAGGTTCAACGATTCATGAATTGGGGAAAGATTTAAAATTCCTTCATTAAGGATAAGGTGATATTGCATGTGTATAAAATGACCCCGCCCATCCTGAGGAATAGGAAGAAACAGGTAATCAGTAATGAGATCTTAGCAACCATTGCTATAAAACAATTGTGTTGGCACTTTCAAAACTCATCTGCCTTGAGGAGTGCTCAATGGAAGGAAAGGAAATCAGAATGGCATTCAGAATAGGAAGAGAATAAGCATATAGATGTTAAAACTTACAGTGCGAGAAGAGTTGAGAGTTCATTCATGAGTATTTCTTGTTCTCAGTGCTGCTATGTTGATCTTGGAAGGTAAGAGGGAGCAGAAACCACACCAAACAAACTTGAGACATGTTTTAGTCCCAAATTTCCCAAAGCATTGATGGACTCCCATTGGGAGTCTGATTGGGAGTCCACCAATGCTTTGGAAAAATTTGGGGCTAAAACACGTCTCAACTCAATTTGTTTGGTGTGGTTTCTCTTCCCCTTTAGCTTCCAGGATCAACATAGCAGCACTGTGAACAAGGAATGCTCATCATTTCATTAATTTATGGAAAGAATCAATGTGATATATGAATGAACAGGATGATTCCTTGAAGAAAAATATAAAGTAAAGTAGTCTTCACAACTATTTTACAATGCACAGATTAGTGTGTGGGGATTGGCAAGCTTAACTGTCAAAGGTAGAATAAGTGACGATAAGAAAAGTGGTTGGATCCAGAAGGAATGTTATCAGAATAAATGATTAATTATGATGTAAGCATGAAACTATCTTTGGAAATAAGGTCACATCTGAATATAGCACAACTATGTCACCCTGGCATTGCAGATAAGAAGATTCAGGCTAAAACACATATAGGTTACTAGTTGTCCAAAAAGAAGCAAAAACTACCAAAACCACAAATTGAAAATTAGCACACTAATGTTGGTAGTAGCCAGAGATTTAAACAACAGTTTGTTAAAAAAAAAGTCCTGGTAAACTCCAGGATGTAAAAAGTTAGCTACATTAAGTGGATAGAAAACAAGGAATATCTATCAACAGGAGAAAGCCTGAAAGAAATAGCTGAGAAGGAAACTTTGATTAGAGAGAGAGAGAGAAAGACAAAGGGAGAAGTGGTAAAACTTGGAATGAATTAACTTATTTGTTCACATTTATATAGCTCCTCAACTCAGAAAACAAGTGAAACAATATTTCAGGCTGAATGACTTAGAAACTAAGTTAATGTTCTCACATAGGAATATTGATTTGATCAAGGATGTTCCTGATATTACTTCAAGAACATTCATTATGAGTCTGATTTAAAGTCAAGCTAGAAAATTTGATTACAAATTGGCAGTAGGGTCATGATGCCAAAAAGACTGGTGAAGGTTTTTTTTTTTTTTGCATTTAATGAGACTATAAGACGAGAGACATGAACCACACCTGGATCATCCTGATTTTTTAAAAAATGAAGAGAACGCAAGAAGAACTTTCTTGTTCCATTAATGAAAGGAAGCACTTCCTGGAATTTTAAAATTAATTATCCCATCTTTATTATTTCTGTGAATAACTCAAGATCCTCCTCTTTGCCTCACAACAGCCACCCTGTGAGGTGAGTTGGGTTGAGGGAGAGTGACTGGCTCAAAGTCACTCAACTGGCTTTCATACTTAAGGAAGAGATGTCATGAATGCCATTGATAGAATTGTGAATTATCATGAGCAAACAAATCTATTTATTCCAGTGATTACAGTCACTGGATTAGTCACTGAATCATTGCATCATTACCACAAGATGCACCTGAGCGAAAGATGTAATATTATGTGGAGAAAAAAATAGGAGCTTGGATCACTTTCCCACAGATTTTTAAGCCATATCCAATTAGACTAACCCATCATACTCAAGAGATGCAAAAGCATTTGAGGGACTGAAAAACTTATAACAATGGATATAGAAGTCTATTGTTAAATCCTCCTATTCTCAGAATTACTCAGGTTATTTAGACAGGCATCTGGTGTATATTGGAGACGTGGTAAGACGTGGTAAAGAATGGGCAAGTGGACAAGATTGAAGTGGGATCTAATTTTGCTGGGATTGTGTAGAAGAGAAATGGAAGGCAGAGTTAAATGCATCATCAGTTTAGAGGCTTTGTGTTGCCACGAAAGATCCAAGTCCAGCCCCGTCCCTCATGAATTCTGTTGACCTTTATTTAGTGCCAATTTGTTGCTGACTGTTAGTTGAGTCTTAACAGATTGCTGACCTCTATGATGATGACACTGGAGACCAAGGAGCTGAAAACTATCATGATCACTAATGCTTTAAGGATGTCTAGACCCAACCAGATCTGTCACAAAAGAGGCACTCCCACAACTTTTGTATAACTGAAAACAAAATATCCCTGTGTCAAAATAAACCAACATTGCAACAACAAAATGCATTTGCACTGGGTATTGAATATGCCATCACATCTAAGTGCACTTATGAAAATGGGCGTTCATTGCTCAAACCCTACAGCTAGGTAGGGGACTGATGTAGCTAAAAGACATGAAGAACAGCCCATTTGAGAATATCTTCATCTTCCTGTTTGTCTTCTATAGAAGAAGAATATAGAAAAGGACAAAAAGGAACAAATATCTAGTTACACTAAGGAGAAAATATACAAAAGAAAGTTCCGTATCTTGTTGCTTGTGTAGCACTTAACAGATTTAACAGATAATCAGAGTTGGAAGGGACCTTGTAGGTCATCTAGTCCAACCCCCCACCCAAGCAGGAGACCCTACACCATTTCTGACAAATGGCAGTCCAATCTCTTCTTGAAAGTCTCAACTGATGGCGCTCCCACAATTTCCGAGGGCAAGCTGTTCCATTGGTTGATTGTTCTCACTGTCAGAAAGTTTCTCCTTATTTCCAGGTTAAATCTCTCCTTGTTCAGTTTCCATCCATTATTCCTTATCTGGCCTACAGGTGCTTTAGAAAATAGCTTGACCCCTTCCTCCCTGTGGCAGCCACTCAAATATTGGAAGACCGCTATCATGTCTCCCCTGGTCTTTCTCTTTACTAGACTAGCCAAGCCCAGTTCCTGCAACCGTTTGTTGTATGTTTTAGCCTCCAGTCCCCTAATCATCCTGATTGCTCTTCTCTGCACTTTTTCTAGAGTCTCAACATCTTTTTTATAATGTAGTGAGCAAAACTGGATGCAGTACTCTAGGTGTGGTCTTACTAAGGATTTATAAAGTGGAATTAGTACTTCCCTTGATCTTGATTGTATCCCTCTGTTAATACAATTTAGGATTGCATTAGCTTTTTTGGCTGCTGCTGCACACTGCTGGCTCATATTTAGCTGGTTGTCCACAAAGACTCCAAGATCCCTCTCACAGCTACTGCTATTGAGCCTGGTTTCACCCAGTCTATATGTGTACTTTTACTGCCTAAGTGCAGGACTTTACTTTTTCTCTACA